ACAACAATGGGACAGAAACCTCTTCTAGAGCTGAGGCAGTAAAGCTTCCTCAAATGACTCAGGAAAAGCAGGAACAAGCATAATGAGATTATGATAAAAGGTTTTGGAGAAAAACTGCCCAGAATTTGCAATTGGAATGGAATGGTAAATTCCGGGAATATCTGATTAAAGGACGATAGTGGCAGCCCCCTCAAGCTGCCCCCGGGTATAATCAGTTTAATCCAGACGCTCTTCTTCCCCCTGAGGGTATAGTAAACATTGTAGCATTTGGATATGGAACCCGGAACGAGGAAAAGGAAGGTGGAGGCGAAACCTCACCTTCATTAGAAAGGTTAAAACCTGTTTCTCACCTTCCCTGGAGCTACAGAAGTAAGGAAGAAAGGATTATTAGTCAATAGATAATCTGTAATAGCTTGTTTGATCTTTTCATATGGAAAAAATAATTTTAGATTATCACGAGAAGCATGATGCCCTTGATAAGCTATTTTAAGATAAAACCTGTGAATCATCGTGTCCTGTCTCAAAAGAACACCCACATTTTTTTCATTTTTCTCTTTTGTGTCAAGTTCCTCCTTGATAAGAATAAAAGACTGGGGTAGAATTAGTTCTGTGTACATTCCTGGCAGCAGGACTATCTGCATGTCAGCTTGCATCCACTCTGGTCTCCAAGTGTTTCTTTCTCTTTCGCCTCTCCAGACATCCCACCTTCATGTACTCACTCCCTTGTCGAGGCTGGACCCCGGCAGAAAAGTATGCACAAAATCACAGGATCAAATAGAAATGGTCGATGCACAACCATTTCAATAGGAAGCATATGATCCAGAGCCAGTGGTTCTGAAAGAAGCTGCATTGAAGGCACTGGTGAAAAACAAGACTCCAGGGATTGGCGGAATACAAATAGAAATCTTTCAACAAATTGATGAAGCACTGGAGACACTCACTCAGTTATGCCAAAAAATGTGGACGAGGTCATTTTCCACCAATTGGAAGAGGTCCATATTTATGCCTATACCAAAGAAAGGTGACCCAACTGAATGTTGAAATCATTAAATGGTATCATTAGTCATTCTACTCATAAGTATTTACCCAAAAGAATGAAAGCGCATATCTATATAAATACTTGTACATTAATATTCTAGTAGCTGTATTTGTAATAACCAAAAACGGAGAATAATTCAAATATCTATCAACAGGCAAACAAATTATAGTGTTGCTGTTGTTATGTGCCATGGAGTCGGTTCCGACTCATAGCGACCCTGTACAG